GCCAGGAGGGTCCAATTGCCTTCTGAGAAGGTGGCAGTGGATCCATAAGGAGTATATTTTGGCAGTGGTTGCAGGGACAGAGAGACATATACTTATATCACAAGTCAAGTCAATTTCTTGTCAGCGCCCGTCACCCGCCCGTCACTGACCAACAACACAGCGCCGTGCCTCGGTCGCAGCCTGCAGGGCTTTGCGACGGCTCTCCTGCCGTATAGCCGTGCGCCGGCTATGGCGGTGAGACGGTGGAGATGTGAGTCACATTGACTACGCTCCTACCAGAAAACCGAGTAAGTACGGCCAGGAGCCTAGTTCGGAGCCCACTAAGAAGCCTAGTTCGGCAAGAATGCTACTATAGTAGTACGACCAGGAGCCCCGTTCGTAGCGTCCGATCGCTCCTAGTAGTAAGGCTAGGAGCCCCTACGTAGTAGTTTCTTGTTATTAGGGCGGGTTGGTGATTGAAACTCTTCACTTTTTTGAGATCCCTTTTGAGCAAAAAAGGGTTCCAAAAGGCTTGGCAATGGATACGGTGCACGATGGTGTGCGGACAACAGTTGCATGCACACATCTGTGCAGTACCCAAATGTTTAAAAAGGCTATTGATACATAAATCGCTCTGAAAGAATTGTGTATCCCTGGCGGTCCAGGACCTGAAAAAGTAGGGTCCTCGGAATGTCTGAGGAATCAGGACCAGGACTCTGAGGGTATTATATTATATACCATCTTCACATTCTGGGGGGGTTGATTCATCCACATGAATCTGCTTATAACCGCCCACCCCGCCACCTGCCAACGTCCGACGCGCGACGGCTCCTGGACGGTTCCCTTCTTGCGCCGTGCAGCGTCCACTTTCTGCAGGCACAACTCCTGGCCCCAGCACGGCGACCAGGTTTTTTGGGGATCTTCTTTGGGGTTCCAAGATGAAACCAGCGAGATGAGAAGGGTTCCATGGACATGTGTGCTGTTGGATGCACAGTTGGATGCGGTTGTGAAGATTGATGGAAACTGCTAACTGTCAAACTGTGAAACAGGAAGCAAAGCAAGGAAATTAATGGGATCCTCCACGTTTCTTCCCTGAAATTTGGTTCATGTTTCAATCCTTCTACTTTATTTGCCCCTGGTTGTCGGGACTGCGCGGCATCTCTTGTGGTGAACAGTGGCATCGCATGGGGCATAGATTCTGTGTCTGACTTGAACAGCAGAATGTGCTGCCAAAAGCCATGCCACAGCCCAGCGTTTCATGTATTCAGTAGCTTCCCCACTTCAGCGACTTTTGACCAGCTTCTCTGCCCATGGCTCCTCGGTTTTCTTGAACCTTGGATGAGGCATGAATCTGGCAAAATGGTTCCAACACTATCCATCTTCGGTGTGCTTCCACAATCTTTCACCTCTATATACATGTATCATTTGTATCTTACTATAATGATACTACATCCCGAACCCTGACGGCCTGCAGGGATTTGTCAAGGCCGGCCAAAAAAAACAACGGCCAGTGGCGTCACCCAATCAGCTAATTCAGTTCCTTGGCCTCATCTGGGCCACACAGGTGTCGATCTTCCCAACGCTTTTCGGATCAGAAGGACGAAAACTGGATCGTCAGCGGCATCGAGTCCAAAGCCCGTCACCCGGGCAGAGGCCATGGCATGACCAGGTCGCCTTGGGAAGCTACTTTCAGCTCTTCTTGGGCCTGGAGACATTCCAAGTCGTCGACCAAGAGGGGCGAACGGACCAAACCATGAAGATCACGATGCTTTCCACCAACTGCCATTTGTTGAACTATGGAAAATCCACTCCCCCCCAAAAAGGTCTTGGATCATGTTTAGTTTGATCGCACATGTTTGTGTTGTATATGTTGGTTGGAACTCCTGGCATTACAAATCCAACGAAATCAAGCACCACAAATACCCAACATAATCCAACCATGCAAAAAACGAAAAACATGGGGTGTGTGTTTCGTGCTTTTTCTGTGCGCCGTTGCGCATAACGACGCGCTTGGACGTGGACGCTGGACGTTCACAGCTCTTGAGGACGGACGCAGGACGCACGGATCTCTTCGCTCGTCCGTTGCTCGTCTGAAGCCCAAGCAAGACTTCTCTTTTCGGCTTACCATGGCTTACCTCTTTCTGGGTCCCAGTCAGAAACCATTCATCTTATAACTTAGAAGCTCCTTGCTTATTACTTCAAGCTCGTTATCTTCCAAACACTTCCGCGGTTGCGATTCTAGGCTCGTTTGATATATAAACAACATTGTTTGGTTCGAAGCTCTCATCCGTCAACCCGGAAGTCACCACGCCGCGAACGCGCCATGCCATGCGGGTCCAGGGTCGAAGCCACGGTTCTTCTCCGGTTCCGGCCTGCTCTTTGGCCACGGTCTCTTCTTTCAACCGGAGCCGAAGCCTCAGGTGCACTTGGCTGGAAAAAGGAAGCTCAAGGCTCAAGGAGAATGCTTTTGAGGTCAAGGGCTGCCATCGAATCTTTCAAATGTGCTCCAAATTCCTTGCAACTACAGTAGCCCGTATACATTGTCAAGCACTTGCTCAGGCCTAATTTCGAGAGGATGGAAGATGTAACCAACCTCTATGCAAACCAGGGAACCTGGCGTGTCCATTTGCGCCACTAGGTGTCCATTTTGCCTGATTCCCCCCCGAAACTCGGCTGCCGGGCTCAGCGATCTCTTGAGCTCTGAGGAGTTCCTTCTGCTTCAACCGCCCGCTCTGCTCCAACTGGCCGACATGAAAGCCGTCACAGGAAGGGGCAGGTCCGACTGGGAACACCCACCAAAACAGGAAGGCTGATGTGAGCCTGCAGGCATTCTTAAATTGTGATCACCGCCGCCATGTGAGACATTCTTAAACTGTTTGTTGTTGTTGTTGTTGTTGTTGGGTGAAGGTTTCATTCTGCACCACACCACTGGAATGTTTGTCCTCAGCCAAAAATGCATCTTCAGAACCGTATTGAAGATTGGCAACTTGGATAGGTTCTGCACACTACAGTATATAGTGCGTTGACATGTCCCCTACCAAGATCTACCAAGCATGTGTTTTAGCTTCCCCTGAAAAGCTAAATCGATCTTAAACAAGTCTTAGCGCGCGGACGCTCGCAAAACGATTGTTTCACCAAAAGCTCCTCCTGCATGGCAATCCGAAACTGACCCCACGATGTTGTTTTCAATCAAAGTTCACCCCATGATTTGATCTTTTCAACTGGATCCAATCTGCCCTATTTGCAATTCATGTAAGCGGCCTTCCAACAAGTATTCCGAGGAACCGGCCACAGCACCTTAAGACCACCTGGACCAAGCCACTTGTGATATACCATGTATATATATATAAATAGATATACACATAAAAAGAATAACTATATAAATGTAAAGACATGTTCCAAATGGTGCAATACACTCCCAAATATCCCTTGGTCCCACTCCTTGCTGGATGCAACTTGCTGACGACCAGCTGCCGCCTGCCAGCTGCCGACTGCAACAGTACTCGGAGATACTCGGAGGTACTGCAAGGTGGCAAGTGATTGCGAACTGGAACATCCGTAGGCAAAACACTCTCCGCAGTGCGGGTGTGATGATCTCGTAACTGTTTTCAGTCACAAACATATTCGGCACGTGAGGATTCTGCGCAGGACCAACGACCCTTTTTGGGCTGTTGAGAAGCCCCAAACATTCACCCTGCTTTCTGTGAACAGCGTCCAACACCGTGCTTTCTGTGTTGGGCACATCTGCCCGACTCCAACGTGTCTATATCTCCTCCCCACAAGAGTTCTGCTGAGCACAATAGCAGGGTAGCAGTTGGAAAAGCAACTGCTGGCAGAAGCAAATGCTGGCTGCGCCATCCACGATGGCCACAGCGGCGATGGTGCTATGTTGTGAGAGCGGGAAGCTGACCATCGAGCAATTCATAACAAGCAAAGGTCAGTTCTCAAGTCATGCAACAGGCTGTGGCCCGGGGTAATTCGAATGCTACATGCGCATTCGAAAGCCAGTCCGAGAAAAACCAACCATCGTGAATCGTATCGCGTGTTCTTTCTCCTGGGCGATCAGCCGACAAAGGAGCCCCAATACGATCTAACAATCAAATATATTGGGGCTACTTTCTTGACAATGTTTGACAAGTAGCAATATTTGAGCCCCAATACGAAAAAAACATTGCTACTTTCTTGACCAACAAATATAATATATGCAGCTAACAAATTGAACTGCAAGCATCAACCACATGGCTGCAAAGAACGCGGGCTTTCATTGCAGTTTCTAGGAAACTGCATCTATTCAAAGCTGCCGCATGAGGTTGAGTTGTTTGTGGCATGGGTATCACGAAAGCACCCCAACACCCTGCCCAAACTACAATGACATGACTGTCTGACATTTCTGGTGATTGAAAAGGAAGCAAGGTGAAAGTTGAAAAAATGCCTCATACCGCCAGCGTCTTCCAGGAAGCAGAATCGCGCATGGTTCAGGTACATAAAACACCGCCTAGACATGGTGCCAAGGCCTAAAAAAGTATGATATGATATGTCCAACATGCCCTGCCATGGACGGTCGCGCGTGTCGCAATGCATGCATGGCCTCTGAGCGCAACTGGCTCTCCTGTTCCAACATGCCCGAAAGCTGCAGCTTGAGCAAATGGAGCTTCTCCTGGATTTCGGTCTTCAGGTGACATGTTGCGCCAGCTCAGTCAAACATTTAGATGAGCGGCCCATTCATCTTCAGGTGCTTCTTTTCGATCTCATCTCACTTAGAGACTATATGGAAGCAAGCACCTGACATGTTGCATAATTAGGTGGATCATTCAAATTCCAAGCGCATTCAACCATATTAAGCCCTATACCGATACCCCCTCCAGTTGACCCGTGTTTCTAAACACCAGGGTTTCAATCCTCCAAGTCTCGCCCTCGATTCCGCTCTCAGAAAACGGGTCAACTCCAGGTCAACCAGGCCAATCACATTCGTCTACCACTCCCAGCGCAAACACTGCAAGGTTGGGCATGTTGTTCAGTGCCTGCTTCAACATGCCCAACCTTGCAGTTGGGACTCTCGACTCAACGTGCGTTGAAGGCTCTCCGCACTCACTTTGGCGCTGTTCGAACGCCCGTCCTCTTCGCCGCGGACCTCGCCGTCACCGGCCCGGCGTTGGAGGCGCCGGGCGCCGTCGTGCCAGAGACGCTGCAGGAGGGCACGGTGCTCCTCAAGCCTCGAGCTAAGAGAGAGGGCGATGATGAAAGATGAATGATGAATGAGAGAGGGAGCTGAATGGGGCAGCATACCAAGATGGCGCTTTTCAATCCAAACTCCTTCGAGTAGTCACTAAGCCAAAACCGCTTCAGCAAAAAGCATTCCCGTGACCCTGTTGACTTATCCAACCATGTGGGAAAAAGAGGATGTGAAGTGCCAGGACCTTCCAATTTTATCTGAGATCGCAAAGGATCTTCGGTCGCTTGAGACCTCAGCCGAAGCTGGTTGCGACGGACCTGCGCTTCTTGGAGCGGTGGATGGGACCGCACTCCACCGCCGCACGCCCCACCTGTTGATCTCCCATTCCACGTCCGCCACCTCGCTGGACAAACGCTCGCAGTCCACCTGCCGACTTGGTGAACGGCCATCCGAGGATGAAACACCATGGGGTGTTTAAGTATTAAAGGCCACTCAAGTACCCCAAAACTGGGCACCACATTTTAGCACAAGTGTTGAAGAAAATCACTTTGAAAAACCCAACCCTACTTGATAACCAGTGATGGTATAAGTAGTCCTGTATTTGAAGAACTGCACTTATGGACTTGGAGGTCAGAAATGGTAAACTGAGGAACTATTGAACGATGAAGAGTGCCGGACTGCACCTCCTCCGGCTCCAACCCCGCCTGGAGCTCGGTCACAGCACCACCAGCGCTTCTGCGCTGAGCGACCAGCTCGTCCTGCCGTGCAGGCATCGGCCGCGGATTCCGCGGTGTCGTCCGAATGCAGAAAAGGTGTTTGATCACCGGGTCGAACTCGTCTAAAGGGAGGGGAGAGCCTGTTTACATGTGTTTTTTTGGGGGTATATAATAACTATAAACATATTAACAATATTAAACCATATATATATATATATTCAATATATATATATACAATGATGTGACCCGGTGGTGGCTTTTGGAGTCTTTTTTCGTCTTTCCAGGCCGGGAGGGGATCTCTTTTCAGACGCACCCACCCCTCTTTCCAGGTCGGCCATTCTATCAAAAGTGGCTTTCGGAGTCCGTCGGGTGTTGCGGAAGGAACCGCCCTGCAAATGCTGTGGGAGTGACAGACTCGACCACGAAATCTCAGTTGTGAGTCGTTCGGGTGATCCAGTGTTTTTTGGATACAGAAATGCCTCCGGCCGACCATAAAACCATGATGCTTTGTTGTTTGTTAGTACCAGCCCTAGGCTCCTACCACTCAAGCCATTGCTGAAAAATGGCTGACAGGTGCACCGCGCACACCAAAAGGCATGAAACAGTACTATCATCAAATCTTCGGAGCAAAATTATGAAGAATTGAACACAATCAAACAAAATTCAAACAAATAAACCCTGGATGACCAAGGGTGACACCTTCAAGAAATTATGCAATATTTTAGACTGAAAAACCTACTTCTGGGCAGCCATGGCACACTTCTAACCTTGCCCTGTCGGACTGCGAAACTAGCGCCCCCTTGTGCTAGTTCCGAAGACCCTCTCCTGTTGACTTTGGCATGCATCCTGGCGACCGCTCATGTGGAAACCGGCAACCTCACCAAACTGCAATGGGTTCAAAAGAATTTGCACCAACCCCTAGTGCTGTGCTATTTCAATTTGGTTGCGCACCCACATCGAACCAGGCTTCATTTGGGGCATCTGTGCCATCTAATGCAAAATGACGGCAACCTAAGTGGAGACTTAATTGCATAGACTACGCAAGACTACACTAGAATCTCCCATTTGTAGGGCAAACGCACTGGTCTACCACAGTAGTCTATGCTATCAAATTGGTTTAAAGATGTCAAACGCATGGCTGCAGCTACACCTGCAGCTGCTACTCCGCTGGCGGGCCAACATGTTTCGGTTCCTCCAATTGAAAAGATTGATCAGTGATTCACACCAACACCCCTTTCCAAATTGGGACATGAAAAATGCGTCGATATGTTGGTCATTCATGACCCCTGACAACCGCCAGTTGGACAACAGCCAGTTGGAATGAGTCTATAATTGATGATGTTTCTCACGTGAGCCCAAACTTCACTCATCCAAAAACAGCCACTTGGACATCACCACAGCTCAGCAGGCTCTGCCGCAGCTCAGCGGTGTCACCGGCGCCCGGCCTGTAGGTCTCCCAGCGACCGGCGCAGCTCCGAGAGTTCACCTCACCGGGTTAGCGGGAAGGCTGCTCCGAGCAACTGGGTGATGTCACAAATAATAGTTAAATTGATGGTTAATAATTGGTTATAGTGGATCGAAATAACATATAATGGAAATCAATGGAATGAGATATAGCAGTTTGATATATTTAAATGCTATATTTTTTTTGGAAAACTATATGATATAATCGCAAGTATGTCTTCATTGTATTATGTACGGTATATAGTATATAGTATATATTAGCTCTATTTTATTTCAGACATGTAGCGGACTCGCCTTGCCCCTTCCGGGTCCACCGGAATTGACCTGTTTGAAAAGGGGGGAACATGGGCCACGACCGGCAGGCTGTTCCAAACCATGGCAAAATCACAAGGAGTAGGTGATAAATGGTTGATCTGTTCCAAATCATGGATGTTGATTCATCCAAATTGCTCTTCATGCGAAGTCAGAAGATTCTAAGACAGGGCAGCCCATGTAAAGCCAGGTGGCTTGTGAACTGGTCGCACTGGGCATTCTCCTGCCCGGAGCTGCGGCGGTGTTCAACATGGAACGTCTGGCGGCCTTCGAAACACCAGGTTGCCCTGAAAACCATGTCAGGACCAAGCACCACTGAATTACTTCTGAGCAAATCCACTGCCCCGCAAAAACTATAAAAAAGAATACGTATAATGAAACATGTATAATAAGACCTGAGCTAGGCGTGCATGTGATAGTCTGCAAAGGTGGGCCACATGTGTCACATGCTCTAATATAAGGGCGGCTAGGTCCAACGTGAGCTTGTCAGGAGGGTATTATAGTATTGAATCACCCTCGTGTCGAAAGCAGATTCAACTCTGGCCCTTACATACCGCCTACATGAGATCGAAATCACACCACTTCCACCCTTCGAGCGTATGCTCTGGTCAACACCACCACGGATTGACACACGTGTTTCGCACACGTGAGGGGGAAACATGGAGTGTTGATATGCTCACATCATCCAACATCATCCAAAGGAATTCCCCGTGTTGGCTGCACCCGAGCAGGACAGCGCCTCATTCAACTTGACATCCAGAGTGCGGATGACCTGAAAAAGCAGGTGAGCTTATGACTATGAAACCCTGCAGGACCCGGGGTTCTGCCAAGATCGAGAAACACAACGATCAAACATCATGTGGTCTGCAGGTAAGTTGGCCCGTTTATGAGGAATATGGAGTGAATAGCCACTAACCATCATACCCTACACCGCATGAACCTGCATGAGTCATGAGCCCCCCTAAACGAACACATCACCAAACGGTTTGCTGTGGTTTGCTCCACCCAAAGTTCGTCAACTCGTCCAGCACATTCCAAGGGGTCTCCAATGGAGTACCTCTCCCCACCCCCCAAAAAAAGCTGTGGATCTCCATTGAACACCCCTTTGAAGGTTCAGGATGTCAAATCGTCCCTTTATGCTTCACCGCCCTCCCTGAACGGCCGGCCCCATTAGGGTGTGAAGGCAAACAGGATTGCAACCCAACGTGCAACTGGTGTCGAACCCCCCGGTTGAATACTCCAAAAATACTTGTGACACTCTGTTGCTTTCTGCTCATCTGTGCAATGGCAATGCTGAGCACTACCCAAACCCCGTAGATCGAGCCAACGGAGCATTCTCCTTCGGCCTATCCGGATGCCTTAGGTGTGCCCTCCCTCTTCGGGATCCAAGCAGAACAAAAGAAATGTGCATCTGCACCGCACGACGGCTTCGTCTCCGACCCTCGCTGGATGCCACAGAAAAATCACATCGAGATCACCCAAAGCCATCAAGATCAGGACCACCCCATGCTTGAGATCAAGCCATCACGGGGTAAGCACATCCCGTTTGTGATCTATGAAGATCATCAAAGGGATGTGCTTAAGTACCCCCCGTGTTGTCGCCGTGCTGTACGCCGATCTTTGCCCGGGAAGGTGTGTTGGCGTGCCGTTCTTGTGCCGTTCTTGTGCGCCAGTTGGATCGCCCGGCGAAGCTGAGGCCGCACCCCCACGCGAAGCGCCCCACGCGAGTGAACATCGCGGCACTGCCTGCTCCCCCTCCTCCAACTTGGCGGATAGAGCCTGTACAGCAAGTTGGCATGATCATCATGTGATCTCCTCCTACATGATGTGGTCAGAACGCTCAAAGATGCTCCAGGCTCAAAGATGTTTCTGGGTGTTCGGGCTACTTCTTTGGTTCCTTTGAATCCACCACCAGATTCCACCAGATTTGATGGATTTAGAGCTAAGAGACCGTGAACAGAAATGTGGGATGATCTCCCACCCAAAAAAACTGGTCGAAGGCCGATGCAGGTGCCAACATTTGCAGGATCCGTTGTGCCATGTTGTGCCAAGGAATTGCCCAGATGGGACAACTCCTCTTGGGACATTCGATGACGAGTCACATGCTGCCTGGAATGACTGACTCCCCTGACCCCTAGGAATTGAGCGATCTGAGCCACCAAAAAAGGCCACAGCAGGAGCTTCTCCAAGAGTGTCTGGGATGGAAACCAAGATCGCCATCTGACTCAAAGGCAGGGGAGCCCTGCCAAAACTCGCATGACTTCGGGCGCCATGGACATCTCGGTGGCATGAAAGGATGCAGCAGTGGCATGGAAAATCGACCCATTTTCACCCTCCCAACTTGGCTGCGCCACACCTAGAGCTTCACTACATCAGGGTCCAGTCCAAATGTATGAGCCAAATGGAGCCAACCAAGCACTCCTTCCACATCACAGCTTTTCCCATAAGGAATCCAAGCGGCTATGGGTCAAATCCGGGAGACCTTGCTTGACCTACCGCTCGTTCCGCTCTCTTGATGGATCACGTATCAGGCTCCAAATTGGCTCCAAGTGGATCCAAAACCCACAGCTCAAATGTCTCAAAAAGCCAAAGCAATGGATCTTCATCCATTTCCCCCTCATTCTATAGAGGGATCATGGGATTATAGATGGGTCTTCTCCTTTCCAACCCCTCCTTTCGATCCTCTTCGGCTCCTCCAGCCTCCAGGTGCCGCTGCCGGCCGTCGGCCTCCAACGCCCGCAGGGCGGACCGGGCGTGCGCCTGGCGCGCCAGCGGTGCGGTGCGTGCGGCGTCTCTGTCGGTTCGTTCTTGGCATCGTCGGAGCGTCACGTTTGGCAGAGAGTCATCGGCTATAGACGATCTTAGACGGAATAGACTCTGAAAAGGGGTGGCGTGGAGGCTAGTGACTACACCAGTGGTGGAACCCAACGTAATAACGTACCAAAATTCATGATGTTTCTTCATGAGGATGATGAATCGAAGCAAGAACACTTCCTTACCATAGTATGGTACTTGTTCTCTCTCTGTCTCTCTCTCCTTTGACATGTCTAAATGGATTTTGGCAAAGCTGGAATAGTCCAGATGAAACAAAGCGGCTTGCGGTTCTCAAACAAACTCCCAGGCATGCATTCATCTTTTGAAAGGCCTACAGGCTGATTCCAGGGTGGCAATACACCTGTCTGCATCACATCCCGCAGCTGAACAGCCTTGTGCTCAGAGTCAAGCTTTGCACTCTCCAGCTCCGGCTGCCAGCGTCCGCATGCGCACAGAGGTGAAAAGCGGGTTTGATTCAATAGTTCATGGCACTACATCGGCTAACGACCAAACTCATTTTCTGCATTTACGTCAACTCTAGCCGGGGGTAGTCAGTCCCAACAATAGCGCGGGAACAAAAGCAATGCGTTGTGCTGAATCATTGCATCTGTTGACCAATTAAGCCTAGCCCCGCTGCCAAGCCTCAACCAGACTCAAGCTCTGCCGAAGAACAAGCAACCGTCTCCTACCCCTACTCCTACTCCTACTACTACTACTACTTCTTCTTCTCCTTCTTCTCCTTCTTCTCCTTCTACTTCTTCTACCACAACTGTCACTGGTATCTTCAAGTCCTTAGTTTAGGTTGAGGGCGGCTGAGGAGATGTCACACCGGATGAGATGCCCTTCCTTGGGCCGCTCCCCCATCGAATGGGCCTGGCTGCTGCTCTGCATTGCCTGCGTCCGATGGAAGCTGTCCGGCTTCGACTCGATGCCCCACAGATCCCCACAGGACCGTAAAACGGATGCACTACCAGGACGCACAAGGGGTAGTTCATGGACACCCCGAATCAACTCTAAAAGCTGCCATTGATACGTAACAAAACCGCTCATATAGGAGGTCCTGGTATCGGATTCTCTTAAGTTCGCCAGTGAAACAGGCTGACTGACTACATATCATACAGTCATACGTTGGAAAAACCGTCGTGGCGAGCCCTGCGCTCCAACAAGGCGAACGGCGAAAACACATGTTGAGATGGCGAAGAACACAACATAGGCGAAAGGCAGAGTCGGCTTCCACCTGCCTGCTCCAAGTGCATGATCTGCTGATGCAAATGCCGAGTACCTCGGTACAATGTATTTCTGGCGGAGACAGAAGCGCGATCTTGGGGGAGACAACAGGATGGAGGCAAAAAACGAGAGGCTTCCCACTAGCAAGTGGTTAGTGGAACTCCCTGTAGCTCCGAACAGCTCCCTGTTCCAAGGTGAGTATGGACCCAACCATTTCCTTAGCTCCCTCTTCACCACCAGCTAGCCCACCTTCATTGCGTCCAAGCCAATCCGGGCGTTCGGGCAACCGCAGGCAGCGCTGAGCGCTGCCTCTGCTTGTTGGCTGCGGAGAGTAAGCTCCAATTGCTCCTGCAACTGCTGAATTGGGCGGGTTCCGGGTTGGAGCGCCAGCTCAGGTCGTCCCGCCCTCCTTCATCATGCTTTCTCTGTTCTGGAGTTGCACGGCTCCAAATCCAATGATATTATCATCCTACATCATCCAATCCACTTTGGAAACCCAGCCCTATATATCAATGTACACCCAACAAATGGAAAACAAGGGACCCCAGTTATGTGGATAAAGTGGGTTTGGGGTTTTTTGCGTTGCCCCTTGCTGCTTTTTATTATGTAGGCGGCCCGGCCCATTGAAGGGAACACATCCAAACTGCGTGGGAATGCATCCCAGGGGAAGTGACAGGCACATCCATTTGAAGGTCTTCCTTCCTATCGGAGGTTTTGGACACGGTGCTTTGCAAAAAGGCACAAGCTTGCGCAAGCTTGCCGAAGTGCTGAAGGCTTCCAGTCTGTCCCTCAGGGATTGTTGACATGTGTGTGTTACCACCTTTTGGAAGGAAATCATCACCTGTTTTTTCTCGATTCTTCGCGGGCCTGAACCCCTTGGGATGATCTGGAAACCGTCTAACCGAAGGCTATTCTTTCGGCGGCAGAACCCTGCAGGGCCCCTGGGAATCGTCCTGGTAAGCCGCTTGGATGCTAGCCTCTGTGCTGCTGATCTGCTGCTCCAGGTGTTCCTGCCACATTTCATCAGCTGCCCATCTTTCTTGGTCAATACAAGGGCTGCCTTTGCACAAAATATCATGCATATGTCATGGTCGATCAGTGCTGTTACGGCATACATTGACTTTGTTAAACTGATTTATTCATTATTGATGTGCGGCAATCTCTGCTCACGGAACCCTGCTGCCTCGGCTCCCCTCGCCAAGTGCTTCCCTGATTCCAGAAAGGGGGTCCATCAATTAACACGAAACACCTGTTCTCCGCGCCGGCCGCCCAGCTGAGCGCCGGACAAAGATATCCATATTTGGATGAAACGAACAGATGGAAACAGTAACATAATATCAAAACATGACAGATCCAATTGCAACAAACATGACAGATCCATTTGCAACATAGGATTGAAACATATTGAAGCCCTTCCCTTCGCCCAGTTTGCCAAGACCAGGCATTGCACCTGCTTGGCTTGCAGCAAAGCGAGGCCCTGATTGACTGCTGGGAGCCGCAGGGTGAGAAAAAACACAGTGGGAAGGTGCAACCTCAAAGAACACAACATCCGATCTTGGACACCTAATGTAGACTCTTGATGACTGACCCCCCCCACTCGGATTTCTTAAGATCTCTTCCTATGGGCCTTTGATGTATCAATAACTGTATAGTCTACATCATCTGACCCAGGTTGCACCATCCAAACCATCCAATACTCAGAAGTCATTTGAAACGACGCTGACGTCATTCGGCGCGCCACGGCGCCAGGGTGCGCACGCACGTGTCTGACATATCTCAGTGCCGCAAAAGACAACTTACCGTACTCATGGAAGTGTAAAAAATGCACATGATAATGATTTCACTCCCATGATCATTTCATGATTGGACGTGCATACTTCATAATCGATGTGTATACTGATTACACCCTGGAAAATTAACATGGAACCTGAAAACCACTGGGTTGTAAAGGAAAATAGTCTTCTAGAGTTCCATTTGTAGGTTCCATGTCAATCTTCCCGGGTGTACTGATCGTGCATCTGTTTGTCCCCAAGGGCCCGATGCGCTCGCATGCGCTCGCGAGTGGAGAGCGAAAAGCGATGCACGCTGTGGTCCAGTGGCGCGCTAATCACCTCGTCGTCTTGGCACTGCTTCAACCTCGCTTCCTCGCAGTACCTGCAGAGAAGGTGGAGGGCTGTGAGGCCGCTGTGGCAGCTGTGGAAGATTGGTCTGTCATGGCTTAGTTTCACCCTGTAAAGTCCAAATTTAAAACAAACCAAAGCAATTTCATGTTATTAAACAATCTCTGAGGAACTGATTGAACTCCAAGAACTTCCCAAAGAATCATGTAGGTTACCGTAGGTTCCCTACGTTCCCTTCCCCATTTCTATGGGAAATCCTTCCTTCAATCCTGATTAATTACTACCATTGGCCACCAAAAAATGTGGCAGCACAACATGAATTTCGACTTTCTACAACTCCTCTCGCTGAAGCGCATCGTTTACCATTTAGTTGGAATCGATGACTTGGCCACCCATCCTGTCGCCTCCCTCAACGGCCCTAAACTCAAGTGAAACAGAAGGCTCTCCAAACGCAGAAACAAGATATGCGATTCATGATGATTCATGTCATTCTTCCCCATCTCTAGCGACTTGTCACGATGTTTTCCCATGTCTTCTTTTAACCGCCCCCCTCGGATCGGACTATCTAGGTCTGAAAGGTCCCACAGCAAATACTGGATGTATGGGCCTCCCAAACACCCATGAAACTGGCCTTGACAACAGCAACGTGGCTACATATGCCAGTCCCATGGATGGTCTGGGCATGGATCTCACCTGAATGGGAACGACTCGGGTGCCTCTCCAATCTCCCCAGTTCCTCTTTCCAATCCTGCGGGGGCAACGGATTGTAGGACCACTAAAGCAAAGAATTGAACACAGAGCTTGCTTGGAATAATTTTTGACCCTGGCCCTCTGCAAAACAACAAGACCAACATGTATGTGGCTTCCATATTTTGTCTTGACTAGCTCGCAACTATATAGCACACCCTTTCCAAACGCCGGAGGTGACTCATGGAACCTGCCAATTGACTCTCCCCCAAATCCCTTCAAGACCAACTTCCTGGACCTTCAAGGGGTGTCCTTCCTGGAGATCCCTAAGTGGTGTTGGGGCTTCCAGCCAGGTGACCCGTAGGGAAGGTGCTGGTTCCTACTACCAAATCCTGGCTGCATGTTTTGACCTCCAGATCCTCTCTCAGGCGTTCCATCGAACGACCAGTCGCGTGACCAGTGGACTAAAGTCGAAAAGTCGAAAGTAGCTGCGTGCTTTCGTTTCCTTACCTTTTTGACTTTTGGACTTTTTGACTTTTCTCACTTTATATCTTTTTGACTTTTTTGCGTTTTGCTTGGTGTCTTGCAAATAGATCGTCGCTCGTCCAAAGGCCACTCCTCCTGGTCTAAGCGTGTCTTCTTCTCAAGGGCCTCGACAGTGCCGAGTTCACAAATCAATGCAAAAGGAGTCAAGTCTACATTACATGACAACCCCCCAAGAAGACAGGCTCCCTAAAGAAACATGCACTCGAGCTGTGAGATGTCTCCGGAACAGCCAGCCCTGAGGAAAGGTTCAGGTCCGGGACAGCAACGCTGTTTGCCGCCCAACGCGTCTTCAGAAGCCGAAAACCGACACGAAAGCTAGATAGAAAAAGGAACGCCGGCATAGCTGGGAAAGCGAAAAACAAAATGTCTAGAGTCTAAAGGTCTACATACAGAAAAAAAAGACAGCTGGACGCAAAAGTGGGTACAAGGCACATGCAGCCCGCATAGAGGGTGTCTGCCCTACTAGGTTTAGGAGTCAAGCTGTGTTCTCACATTCCCGACCGCACCCCGGTAGCCGCGGTAACCGCTGTGAAGCGACTTCAGCTTGTCCACTGTAACGCTAGAATTGCTGGGTCCAAGTTGGATCAGCAAATGATACATGGATCCTGTAAATTGCTTGAAAGTTCTGGCTTGCTTTTGCTTCAATCTAGAGCCTTTAGGCGCTTTCCAAGGCTTTCCCAATCCAAAACACATTCCCTCCCCTTCTAATCCCATCTTCAACGCACCGCGACGTATATGAGTTTCTTCTCAAACCGACTTCTTCTCATACCCTAGAGAGATCCACATACCCTCTGACAAATTGCTTGGAGATTCTTTAATATAAGAAGGCTTCCTTTTCGGGTCCAAGCACCTGTTCAGAGGGTGGCAATGGATCCACTTGTGGATCCTATCTGGGACGACTTGGTTGATCTTGTCTAGCTCTTCACGTTCTCCGCGCCGTCTCCGCGCTTGACGGCGCCTCCAGCTGCGACGCCTGCAGCGTCGTCTGGCGCGCCAGCAGCGCTTGGACTCGCCGCCCAGCCACCGCGAAGTGGTCGCACCTGGAGAGGCGGATAGAGGCGGTGGAGCCGCTGGAGGTGTGGAGGGTGGAGCCGAAAGGGTTGATTTTGGGAAGCGAGATTGATTGATGACAGTGGAGAGAACAGGAGAGAACCAACAGGTCTCCGAAATGGTGGCTTGTGTAGACTTAAGGGCGTCAGGTGGTGACCTGTTGGAGGGTCCAGGTATAGAGAGAGAAAGAGACAGGAGGAACAAAATAGAACACGTTTCTAAAAGATCACTTGAGAGGCGAAATGACGGAAACACAAAGCAAAGCAATGTGATATTCTATCATGTTTTATGTCCCATGTCCGCTGGTCTTTGGACAGCCTCGGCTGTGTCAGAATCCACCATGACCCGGCTCCAAGATCACTTTCTGAGAGGAGAAAAGAAAAACAAAAACACGCAAGGAGTTCGGAAGCTCCCCGTCGCTTGAAGATGTTGGCTCTTTGTTGATAAGCCAAAAAAAACACCCCCCTCCCTCCCGAACCCTAGCGCTCCTGTCCCATATCCTCAAAAGGTGGCTATAGGTGGCTAGACCCCCCTGGCACCCACCCCAACCACGCTGAACTGAGGATGTGGGCCAGGAGCCCTATAAGGGAAAGAAAACTATTGGCAGACGTGGCGCTCAGCTCCGAAGCTCGCTGAAGCCCGCACGTGTTGCTGCTGCTCCACCCTCAGCTTCTTGAGCTAAAGAATGGTGGCATGTTCCATATCAAAGACAGGCAAACATATTGAACCATATTGCATGTTCGATGTTTTCCTTATTTCTAGGGATGATGACTCGCAACATCTCGAAGCTTAAGAAGCTACGAGGCTACCAGGCTACCTCCTCTCGAACCATTTCAGTGAAAGGCACCGCATTGCCACAGAAAGCTCTTCCATAGACTTCTGCAGCCTTTGCTTCTGCTCCTCAGCCTGGACAGCTGCAAGAGGCGGGCGACGGTGACGGATTCACGTGATCCAATATGCCCATATCACTGTGAGGCACCTGATTACCACATAAGACTTCACCCAAGACATCCCAAGACCTTTTAAGTCCATGATTGTCACGGAAAACGATGAATTTCCTCAGGGAGCTCCACCGTGCTCCGTGCCCACGCTGCAGACTTCGCCCCGTTTCGACCGGCTCCTTTCGGCTCGGACGGTCCGCCAAGCTGCCGGCCCACGTGCCTCGCCTTCATGTGGAACGTGCCACGGTTGAGGACCCGCAGCGCATTGCTCGGCTCCAATAGGACCTGGAAGTCGGACGTTGGAGTTCGGATGTCTGTCAAAGGTCATTGACGTATATAAATGGTTTGATCAGGGATGTGAGACGGGGCTGTATCACCCGATAATTGACAGTCTCCAAATATGCTGATCTGATATGTTATAAATATTTATAAATTATGTTTGAATGTGAACGTCGCTTTTGTCGTTCGAACCAGGTCGAACTCCTTTTGTAGCTTTTGAAGCTCAGGTGTTTATGTACAAGCTGAATGGAATAGCGTTTTTCGAGTTTTGAACACGTTTGAAGGCATCTTGTATTTTCTACAGAGTCCCATGCGCAACCCATGTCTACCCAAAAAGTCCACCAACAAGGTGAACTTGAGATCTGCTTTTGTGCTACCTGACTACCTGCTTGGTGCAAAGAACTGGGCTGATCCCTTGGCCATACCAAAAAAATGGCTGTAGACCGTAGACGGTTGCTTTGCAAAGAAAGCCGTGTCTTCGCGATTTTGTCCACAGTCTGTTCCTAAGATTTGACCATGTTTGAACAAAGCTCTGCCTTGCCAAACAGGGTCCTTCACTCCCAATGATAATCTGAATAGCCAGCCTTCATCTCCTCTTGGAATTTGACCATATCTCGCCTTGGTGTGCTTAAGGAGACAAACGGTTTTCACCAGCCTCAAAGAGAATTATGTGGATGAGTGTGCCCTCCAATTCATTACCGAAGTCCGTTGGAATTCAACAAGGACTTCATGGACTTCCACAGTTAGTTGACTTTTGTTAATCCAATGTTTGAAAGTGTTGTCCTATTTTATCCTATTCCATCTTCGGAGTGTAATGAAGTTCCCTGCCTGCCCCAGTGTTTTTGGGTGGTTCCCACCGGCCCCTCTTTGCAGCAAATGCTGAGCAAAATGCCCGATGTTGTGTTCATTCGAAGTTCGGAGTTCTGCGTCCAACCACGGACTCGTTCGTCGTGGCGAAGTCGGTGGTTCAGCCAGTGAAGGGAACCTGTGGCGATGATCTTCGTTACATGGAAAGACCCACCACCCAGGGGACTTTTCCAGTCGAGTCTATGGTTAGAACCACGCACCCACGAAGCACTCGCCTCAGTTGTTGTTGCTCTGCGCGGAGACCAGCGACCGCCTCTTTCGGCGCGGCGCGAGAAGCGGGAGGCGGTCGCCTAGAGACTTGGATTTTTTTCGTGGATCCCACGAACCTGTGAAGGTGAGGAAGGAGACTATATAGGAGAAGGTAGGTAGGCGTGGATGGCCCAGTCGTACCGAACCTGAGGTACGGTGGCAGTGGATCCCTATAGGGAAACCGGAAATGGCCTGGCCCCGAAAGGATTACGAAATCTGTGACGCGCTGCCGCTTGTGATGCACGGAATGTTCTTACCTCTGTAGGGCTCAGCAGGGAAGTTTCTGGGCAAAGCACCCTTGAAGATCTTGAAGGGGCCTGCAACTGCTTCCGGGCGGAGGACACCACGTCTTGCCTGTCGCAGCGCTCTCGCTCGCGAAGGTGGTGGCGAGTGGTTGTCACAGCATCTTTTTGATGTTGCTGAGGGGATGGGCACCAAGAAAAAATCCGCATGCCATATGGAGGCTTGTGAACATAGAACCCCCCTGGAGAAAAAACAAAAACAAAAACTATAGCGGCGCTATAGTTCCAAGATGTTCCAAGTGAACATATATATGCCGCCGTTGCTGCATTATCTTTGCGACGGCAATTGCATGTTGATTATAGTTGGGACATCCGGGAGTATATGCGCGGTGTTCATATCAGGCTGGACTTCTTGTCTTCGTTTGAATTTGACACTCTAATTTCACTCCAATTCCTGAGTGGGTGAGTGCCCTTAACGGTCGGCAACTAGAACACAACAATGGCCCTCGATATTCCAAAGGTCGAGGACGGTCAAGGAAACATGAAACATCCATCGAATCTCCATCTTCACATCTTCACCATCTCCCAGTGTCCAAAGCTTCGGTCCATCCCCAAGCGCCCTAGGCCTGCAGCTCTCCATCCGCCCCAGCGCGTTCCTCTGCTGCTCCATGGCCTGCGCCTTCATCGCCGCCCCCTGCGCCGCGCGCGCGGCCCCCGCCGCGTCGCGCTGCTCCGCGTGGCGCAGCGCGACGAGCTGCGCGCGGCGCTGCTCGGCGCTGGTGCGGTGCTGCAGGGCATCGATCTCGTCGCGCTGGAAGCCTGACTCCGTGGGGTGGGTGGGAAGGGCATTTTGGGGGCGAAAGGTGGAAAAGCGGAAGAGAATGAACAAACATGAACCCATGGGGGCTTCAACCTGAAGGATCACTGCTTCGGATGTCAAGTCGAACCTGCAAAACATATGGCATTAGCAGTGTGGAGCGGTCAAGACGTCGGATGTTTGAGCTTGTTCGGGCAATTCGCTGATCCAAGCGGATGACTTATGTTGAAGAGACTCTGCTTCCCTCCAAGACCATCCGAGACATCTTTGACGGCTAAGAGAGCTCAGCATGACGCCATGCCGCTGCACCAACTTCATCCAGAAAGGCTCCACCCAAAACATATTACATAGCGAGTGATGTGAGGGGCATGGCCCAACATCTTGACCATCTGACGAATCATCTGACTTAAAGCCGAATGTTAAGCATCCCCAGTGCTTCACATGTTCCCAGCAAACCACACACACTCACAACAAAAAAACATACAAATGCTTGTGCTGCCGAAGCGGAGGGGAGGGAGAGGGAACCAGAACCCGGTGAACCCGCCCATCGGAACCGGTTCACCTCCAAGGAACGCGATTGCTCCAACAGTCTCCGATTGCTTTCGTTCAACGCCTCCAACGAGCTCCTGAGCTCCTCGTGTTTCTCTGCCTGCCGGAGCATCTCCTCAGCGCGGCCGCTGGTCGGAGCAGCCAAGCGAAACGCTGCCAAAGGCTGCGGAACGGCATGGTGTGGTCGTCGGCTAGGGAGTCGTCGGCCAGTCGGGAGTCGTTCACATATGCGTCAAGCTTTGAAGGAAGGCATCTACTGGTGCATCGAATAGATCATGAGACGTCATCAATGGACGAATTAATATATAATAGCCATGAATTAGCAAAACCCCGTTTGGATTGCACCTTTTCAAAAACCCTTTCACATGGAAGGTTTTGTATCAAGAGTCTACATGGGGCCTCCATTAAGACACCAGTTGGATGATTTCCGGTCTATGTGGAATGCTTGCCCCCCGTGCAAGGATCGGCCATTGGACATCCAAGACTCTTTGGTCGCCACCTCTGCCCGCTTCTGCGCCTCCTCCGTGCAAATCCAAAGGCATGTCCGAGAAACCCATGGTCCTGGCCTTATAACATAAAATACCGTAACCTGAGAATTCGGGAAGTCCTTCTGGTCCTCAACAGATCGTTATAAACCTATTCATTGATCCTGTATGATCCTGTTCATGCTCGTTTTGACCAAAGATCTTTCCATAATTACATATGCCTTGCCGGCGAAATCGCCATCTCTCCTCGAGCTGCTCCCCGGGACTCCGCCCGCCACACGTCCGCAAGAGCTCCACCAGCTCTGCCGCCTGCCGCCGCGCCGCCGCCGCGTCCACGTGCTGTGCGGATGTCCGGAGCCGGTGCAGCAGCGGCTGCAGCTGACGCGCCAGGGAGGCCCAGGAGGAACCTCGGTGGAAGAGGCGTCATGTGGGAACTGCATGGGGGTGCCCCCCGACAGCTATCCCTCACAAGCTAACATTACTGACTGGCGAGTTCCGAGATGGCCTACGGCACTGCCTACGGCCTATGGTACAAAAATGTGCGAGGAATCCAAAACAACGAAAATGAGGTAAACAGGATCGTTCAGGATGGTACTATGAAGAAATTGAATTTCTCAGGGCTGAATCAAGCTCAAAAGCTTCCAAGTGAGATCCTGCCAGTTCTAGAGGGTCTTCTATAAGGGTCGTCCACCAGAGTGTCGTCCACCCTGCAGCAGATTCCGGTAGAGAGTTCAAATGGAGTTTAGAGTTAAACACGCCGCGACCACACACTATTGCTTGGTCATATGGTCACATGGTCCAATACAATGATGTCACGCATCTTTCATGATACACCCCCGGAAAAGACGCTTCCATGGACCCCCGCAGAATTCACCCGTGGAAGACCGACCAGTTTCCGAAGACCAACCTAAGAGTTGATTTAGGGCGGCTCCATAAAATTGCAGGGTACGCATAGCACAAGGAAAAACATGGCGTTTCGCATCCTCATGTCGTTATGTTTTTCCTCTCTCTCTCTCTCTCACGCTCTCCATCACTCTGTTCCAGAGTTCGCCATGTGGCCGGCTGTAGCTCGCTCGCCATGGCTTGTCCCATGGCGAAAAGGGGGTGGGTGATTGGTGGGTGGGTCCTGACCAGCCGTAGCTCGCCCTGGCTCGTCCATCACCAGGTGCGTGCGACCCAGGTTCGCCAGTTCTCCCCTATCGACTCGTTCCATGTCCCAACCGTTTCCCACGAGCAGTTCTGCTCTCTTTACCCAGTGCTGCCCAGGCACGGAGGCTCGTGAGCTCTGCGGCGGCCGATGCCTGCCTGAAAAAAAGCGGCCAAGCGGGAGTTCACTGTTTTGGGAAGCCCTCTGTGGGCCCACAACTTGAGGGGGGTGCCAACAAGTTATGTCTGTGTTCATGTCGAATTAAGTCGGCGGCCTGACCGATTTGCCTCTTCAAAGAAAAGCTGAGGACCCCGACCTGTTCAAAACGAGCTATACTTACTTGCTCCCTCTCTCCCGCGCGCTCTCGTCTCTGTCTCTTTCCCTCTCTCTCTGTGTCTCAGGCTCCAGCACAAACAACCCCCGGGAAACTATTTTACCCAAAAACCCGTGAGCCCAGGAGGGCCGTAACACCAACACCAATAGTGAGCTGAGGACCCCACTGGAGGTAGAGGTCCTTGATGACCTCAGCTCCATCCTCACATGCCACGGGCTCCATAATGGCATCATCGCCGCGCGTGGTCGTGAGGCGAAGCGCTTTCTGAAGCGCTGATCATCAGCTGATCCATGGTCCCGACCAAAAGCTGGGACGCGGCACAGCGCAGTGGAAGGAGTATGACCTATAGAGTCTTTAGTTCGCAGTCTGAGGAACTTTGGTTATTGTGTCACGTTGGGTATGGAAAGCTTGCCCAAGCACCGGGTAGAGCCATGGTTTAACTATGTTCAATTGGTCTCAAATCAATTCCAACCCTATCCAGATCCTTTCCAACATGGATCTGGGTCTTGAAGACTATATTGTACTATGTTGTGCTTCACTGCTGTTGGTTCATTGAGTCAATATATTCAGAAATAAACCACCGCTCCGTGTCCTGATTTCCGGATGAGGTTTGGGAGAGGTCGTAGGGTGAGCTGAGATGTTTGTCAAGATACGGCGCAACTGTCCAACTGAAGCTGTAGCTGTAGCTGTTCAAGATAGCATGTTTGAAGGCGGACGACAACTGGTAAGCTAAATGGGTCACCATCATACAAACCAACATCACATAACTTGGCTTTGCTTCAAGGACGTCCTTTGCTGGGCTTGTTCCCGCTCTTGCGCTGCATCACCCCTTCGCACAATGTGAGATCACTAGTCCCGCGTGTGGGCTCAAACGCCGAACCCAACAGCCACCCTTGTGTCACAATGACATCAAAGCTTGGAGCCGAAGAACGCCATCGACACAATCGTTGCCAAGCTCACAGCTCGACACAATCTGTGCGGAACTCCGATGGCTAGCGGCGTTTTGGGATTCATGGAGGCCATTGGAATCTCTTGGAACTTCCTGCAACTCTTGCATCTTCGCGAAGATGAAGCAGCTTCGCAGCCTCTTGAGTCGTTGGAATCTGGTACTGAATTGAATCACAAGCATTTCATTTCTACCTTGATGAGGTGGGAAGTAACCTCCCATGCTGGGCAACCTGAACCTTGGTATAGCTGGGTCCTTCCGATGAGCTTCGAACTAAACCCCCAGTCCCTATGTCCAATACATCTTCATCACGTTCAACTGGACACTCAGGTCAAAAGTAAGAGCAACAGTGAATATTGGACATCCACTTCTTTCACTTATGTTCTTTGGCTGTTCCACAGCGTCCACAACCGCCCGGAGTGTCTTTTCCGCCGGTTCTCCCGGCTCTTCGGTCCCCGGTCTCGGCCACGCGCGTCACTCGGCGATCCGAAGACCTGCCGTGGCGCCGGTCGAACGCCGCGGGCGGTGCGAGGGGCAGGTGCAACGGGGGCGAACAGCCACGGGCGGCGCGGAGTGAGGTGCTGCGGTGGGGCCATGGTGTGGGTGTGGAATGACCCCCGCTTGAAGACGTTCAAGTTAGCAGGTTGACTTGAGCAGTCCATATGGGAAAGGCGTCTCGTTGATTGGGGGACCAATCCGAAACCCACGTGCGGCGTCGTTCGGGAAGAAGTTTGTTTTCACTGTGCACCACCCACTCGAAGGTGAACAGGAAAGAATGACGGGATCACCAAAAACAAGTACTGGAAACCAGGAAACCGATGGACATCTCTTTGAATGCGGGCCATATTCAACAACCAGCTTGGGGCTAGAAGATGCTAGCTGCTAGAAGCATCTAGAAGCCATTTGTGTTCATGTTCTGTTCCAATGTGACATTACCTGTAAGAATCTTTGGACAAATCCAATGAATCCAAACATGGGGCCCACAGCTATCCGGCTCATTCAAGGAGAATCCAATGATGAGACACCAGAAAAACAAATGTGTTAAGATTGGTCAAGGATCTTCCTCATAAAAACCAACCACTTTTGGATACAAACAGTTTCCAGTTGCAGTAAGGATCTGGGCAAGAACCCTTGGTGAATAGTTGAACTTGTCTTCACAACACCACTGTCAACAATGCCAAGAGACCTGCTCCTTCTGTTGGGAAGGTGGAGGTCTTACATGTTGTTGAAATTGAGTCTCCAACATGAGCTTTTCATGCACAAGTCGGCAGACAAGAAGAAATATATATGCTATATGCTCAGCACAAGATGTATTCTAGATAAAGGGCCGTTGAGATTCTATTTACGTTCGGGTAACTGTCATCGACTCTTTATTCCTTGCGGGAGGTTGCATTCATGACATCACACCCTGGCAGGTGACATTTTTTGAAGCACCATCAACCACCTTCAAGCGTGTGTTGACTTGAGATTCCGATCTTCACACCGGTGTTGTGAAAAGCACGTTCAAATCCTAAGCAAGCACCGTACCTAGCAGCAGGCCTTGGCGCATCTCGCGACCCAGGGCAGTACGAAGCCTGTAGGGAGCGCTGCCGGTGAAGAGAGAGGGCATCCCACTGCTGGATGCGACCTCCTTAGGGCTTCCTTTCTGCATGTAGTTAAGTAGCTGAAATTCCCATGGATTCCAAGTGTAACAAGCGGAGTCTATTGAGACCAAATTTCAGGTTGAGTCTTATCATCTGTTCATTCCAATCATCAGAGCTAGCTCTTCGTGGGCCTTTCTTTCTGAGACAATCTTGGTCCATGTGGGTTGAGATGGGTGACTTTTGTCTTTCATCCTTTGATAGTCTGAAGAGTTTGTTTCACTTCAATGTCAGGCCTCAAAAAGACTCTCACCGGGCCTCTCGTCCACCAGGGCTGCTTGTGCGGCGGTCAGCTCTTCACGCCAAGAGCCTTGGAGGGCAAATTGGACGTCCAAGTGACCACCTGCGTGAAAAACATATCCACCTGCTTGGGAGGTGGCCACGGGTGCTTAGAGATATATAACTGATTAGACCAGGTCTGTACTTCATAGCTCTTCCAAAGAGACCCAGCTAGGCTTAGTTGGAGGAGTTCCGGGTGCACTAAGTGGGTGCAAACACCTCCACGACCCGGACACGTCGCACGCGTGTGGATGCGTGTGGTGGAAATCGGAGCACGGGAGGCAGGGCAGTGTGGACCAATTCGTTTTCCACATGAAATTTGGCCCACACTGTCCCAAACCTTCCGATATCGCCCGATCTTCTAGGAGGGGGGGGGTACCGATCGTGGCTAGGCGTTCTCACCTTTGGCTCTTCTCCCTCCCCCGCCCGTTCCCTTCGATCTTCTTTCCGCTCGCCGGTCCAGCTCGCTGATCGAAAAAATGGTGGCGCGGTTCCGCAGCAGCTGCCTCGGGAAACGAGTGGTTGGCGCGCAGCAGCTGAAATCGTCTGTTCAAGTTCTTCTAGAAACTTGGTTCAAAAGAAATACCTTTTCGTGACCAGCAGGTCTTGGCGATCCATTACTCCTCCAACCTGGTGTGCAAGCGGCACCGCAGTGTGACAGTACAGCAGCATGTGTTCATCATGGAGATGTTGACGGCACGGGGGTTGGAGAAGCTGGGGATCCACCGCCCAAATCTTTTTCCGCTCCCAGCTAGATCTGATGATCATCGATGGCTGGAATAAGCGGCTGGGTTTTTCAGAAGCGATCGCCGAGAGCCTTCCATGCTTAGCAGATGCTTGCAGAGGAGAAGAACAAACCAACGAGGATTTCTGGATGCTGACATGTGTTTTGGAGGATTTTTGGAGGTCACGTCCCCACTATACAGGACCAGGTCGTGTGCCGAGCCATCCTAAAATCAGCAGCCGAGTAAGATGATCCAATCTGTGATGGGAAGCCCAACCAGGTCCTTGTGAATTCATTCTGCTGTCTCTACCGGTTCCGCCCTGGTTTCAATCTTCAACCAGTTTAACAACCACCGTTCATGAACAGCGTTCTTCACACCGTTCTCGGCGCAAATGCGCTCGTCACCGACTCGTCAGATCCAGTGGGAGGTCGAAACCGGACACAGGCCCGGCACGTCCTCTGACTCACAGCCAGCACGTCCTCACAGCACGGCCTAGCCAAGAGAAGCGCTTGTGGATCGGGGAGTCATTGATGAGTCCGAGAAGTGCTTCTGGATCTCCTCCTCCGTATGCCCTGGGGGGAGGGTAAGAACCAATTGACCATGGCCAGAGTGGATCTGGAAGGCCCATTGACCCAGTTTCGACCACCAAAACACCCACCAATTGGAGGATGAATCCCTATAGGCAGTCGTCGTTCCGGATGTCCCCTGTTCTCCTCTGCATCCTTTAGGAAGTGTTCACTATCGAAGTCACAAAACCTTAAACTGTATTTCTCTCAGGTGGCCCCCGAAAGGCCCCCAGCAGAGGGCACAGCAAGAAGCCAAACAACTTCTTGATGGCGACATGTCTTTCGGTTCAATATGAGTTTTTTGGGAGTGTCAGTAACCGCCAACTTCTCCCTCGTTGAACATGTTGCCTTCCTATGCCTTGCCAGCTCGTCTGCATCTGGCTTTCTTTCCAAGAGAAAGGCCTGGGGATGCGCTACGAATTCACTACCAGGATCCTCCAACAGGTCACCACCTGCGACTTTTAAGTCTACAAAAGCCTCCATTTCGGAGACCTGTTGGAGGGTGCTGATATGGATCCGGTGGATGCGGCTTTTTTTTTTCAGACGGTGGATTCTCCATCCGGTCTTCTCCTCTCCCAGCGACCGCGACATGCCACGTGCCACGATGCCGAGCAAGTCGCGACCGCCGAACCGACCGGCACCTGCTAAGCCCAGGCTTCTCGTCCAGCCTCGTCGCACTGAACGGGTCTCCAACATGATCTGACCGGTCCCAGCTGTTGCTCGAGATCAGCCTTCGCCTTCTAGAACATCCATTTCTGGCGTTTGATGACATGTTGCACCTCAACACCTTCAAAACATTTGGTGCAAATTGGTTGATATGCGAGTGTCAGATCACAAAGGTCAAATCAGGCAAGAACTCGAATGGTGAAGTCGGTGAAGTCAGTGAAGTCCGAGGTCATGGAAACGCTCAGGGGTCTAACCGTTAGGCAACTTTTATGTGGAACCTCGGAACAAGAAATAGGAACCAGGACTCGACCACCCATCACGCCCATGCACAGTGCCAGCAAAAAGAGAACATGTTCTGGTGCCGGCATCAGCATTGGCGCTTGCGCAAATGCGCAATGTGGTGATGATTGGTGATGCGCAATGCATGATCTCGACCTATATCGTATAAGTTCCACATGGAGAGACATGGAGTTCCACATGGAACTCTCTATCTCAGTTCTCCATCCTTGTTTCCTCCACCAGGTCCGACCAAAGCGGACTGCCAGCCCAGTGCCCGGCTGCCAGCCCAGTGACTAATGCTTCAATCGCAGCCGTGCTGGCATCTCGGCCCAGCTCTCCAAGAAGGGCCTCGCCACGGGGGAGGAGAACCCCTCCCACTCGACAGGCTCGTGAGCTTGGGAAGGCGGGTGCTTTCACGGAAAAGCCCCCCATGCACGGTGCAAGATTGAGAGAGACATCTCAGAGTTGTTGAATCTTTTGCTCTTTTTTTAAAGAACATTAAAGACCGGCGGTTTCCTGCAGATGTTCCCTTGAACATCCTTTAACCAATCCATTGATGAAGAAACAGCTTCGAACACTACTGACATCTCATGACGTCTAAGGGCCTTCAAGAAAATGGGTTTAGCCTTGGTAGTCATCGTGACTGGATGGAGATGGTCGCCTTTATACCTTTAATATCCTTTAATGAGGTCTAAAAATGGAGGTTCTCAATTCTCTGTCTCCAATCAAGGCTCTTGATGCACTGGGCAAGTCTCTCAATCCGTCTTTTTTCGTCTTTTCATGTCTTTTCCACTCGGTGACAAATTCAGTGAACTTCTTTTGGCCTCAGGACTGGTGCCACCGCGCCTGTGCGACCAGTTCTGGTTTGGCCTGGCGCGTTTGGAGGGGTGGTTTTGACGACGTGCACCGAACCGAGGCCTTTAGGTGGCGCTCCCTGCCAGGGGTGGCTCGCTGCCGACGTCGTCTTCCACCATGTTTGAACAGTCGACAGCATGTCGACATTCAAACAACATCTAACGGACTTCTGACACCAAACACACAACTATAAGCGTCACTAGGTCAGCCTGGTCACTGCAACAGTACCTGCATCGTGGGGAAATACGCACCTGCAGGTGATAATGAGTAGAGATGGTGAGGCTTCGATTTCTCGGCTTGTCCGATCCTCTTGCCTATCATCCCTGAATCACCTGGGAAGCATGTTGGATCGGTCAAGCTGGAACGCTCAAGGCTTGCAGATCGGACCTCAAATGTGCTCAGGTGGAACCAGGCCCTAGGCCAAGTCGAGTATATACTCAAATGGAAACCCAAGAAGCGATGGCCTCCAACCTAATAGCGAAATGGAAACCACAGAAGAAGCATGTTTCCTCAAAGAATGAGCATCATTATCATCAATACAGCCGTTTTCATCATAGGTTTCCTTTCGAAATGATGGCACGTACAATGGCGAACCCCCTCCTGGCTCGAATCGGCCCCGGATGTAACAACTCAAGATTTCGTGGTCCATGCCATGTATGTGATCTTAAGATGCCTGACTAAGGGATTTTAAGGGTCAACATGGCGGATGGTCTACGAATACTTTCCCATGTTGACCATGGTCGATTCTATAGGATCTCCCTTATTGACAGTCGCTTGTGGCACTTCGACAGCTTCGCCTGACAAAATGAGCAACTGTGAGGGCATCAGCCGAATTGAATCTGCAAGGGAAACGATGGTACACTCGGGAAGATTAACATGGAACCTGAAAGTTGACCTGACTTGTGCAGACGATTTTCCTCTACGACCCAGTGGCCAATCTTCCAGGGTGCATCCGATATGGAAAGACACCCGCTGTTGTGGCCCACTATCGGCTGCCTCGATATGCCAGGCTCTCAGCCAAGCCAGTACCTGGCAGCCAAGAACGCCCCTCCATGCAAATGCAATTGGAGTTCTGATGCGGTTCTGGATTTCTAATCCATTCGACTTCAATCTACTGCAATAGGAGTTGAACCAACTGCGCAGTTCGGAAGCTCGCGCAGCACAGCGTTGAAACGCACATGTTCTCAGATCATAGCAGCCTCCTGCAGGAAGAAGGCATCTGCCGGCCACACTTTGCAGCCGCACTGCTCTGCCAGCTCCACTAGCCAGTCTGCGGCCTGCGGGGCCTCCGCCGAGGCTGGAAACATCAAGAAACATCGGGATGCCATGGAAGCAGGGGTTTCTCTAAAGGAAGCTAAGTTCTGTGTTGTTTTGTTCTGCTGCGTGATCCATTTTCATACTATGTTGGTCTTACGATGTCTTACGGGTTTCCTGGTGAACGAAAAAGCTTGTGTAAAAAAACACCATCCTATTGTCTCATGCCCGCAGTGCCAAAACATGCCCAAAGAGAGGTAGCATCCAACGGTGTCGTTCTTTCTCACGGTGTGGGGGGAACCTCCCAGTCCAACGCTTGGACTTCCGTTGAACATCTAGAATGCCTTTCTTCCTCAGCCCGTGAAACCGCATCTCATGGTCTGACCAAAGAATTCTGAGTTGGTGTAGTGACATTCCAAATGAAACTGGTTGGGCTGTCTGGGTCAGGCTCTGCTCAATAGAGCCAGGAACTAGGTCGCCTCTATAGCCGAGTCCGCACTGGCGAAGAACGGAGAGGTGGGAGTTGAATCCACGTTTCGCGAACGCGAAGAGGTGTCGGAGCACCACGACCCCCCAAGTACTTACCACCCTTCTAGTAAGGAGTCGTTGCTCGGAGCAGCACGAGCATGGCCGCACCTCCATAGGCAAAGACATGTCGACGACCATCGGCTTGGTTGACCTGACTT